CTTGGAGCAAGGGTGCATCCACGATATCTTCTTCCAGTTGAGGAGATGGAACATGGTGTTAGTAACCAGGAGCTTGTGTTCAGCACATAGTCTGAGCAGGAGAAGACCACTGCTATTGCAGCTTCTGATCCCATGCTTCCCGTTGATGCCATCCTGGCGCTGAAGTCACCAAGGAGGATGAGATAGTTAGACTTTGGTACAGCAGCGATCGTAGAGTGGAGGTCATCATAGAACTGGTTCTTGACTTTGCTGGAGTTGGTCATGGTAGGGATGCACACACTTATGATAGTGGCGCACTTTTTGCTAAGCAGAGGGAGCTTGAGCCGTCCGTCCGTCATTCACTCCCTTGGGCAGGTTGGTCAGCTTCTTGATGAGGTTGTTTTGTATAGCAAAGGTGACACTTTCTTTCCATTTGGCTTCACTGCCATGACCACTCCAGAAGGATGTAACCAGTTTTTCCGTCTGTGAGCTGCCCTTCGTCGGGTAGGTGAGTCTCACTGAGGGCAGCGATCTGGACATTGTATCTGCCAAGTTGATGGCAGTTCTCCTTTCAGGTCTGTTGGTGTTTCCATTGGTCAATGTATGTACGTTTCATGGGCCTAGCTTGAGAGGGACTGATTTCTTTTCTTTTTGACTGCTGCAGTGGGACCCCTGCCAGCTGAGGTATGCTGGCCAGGGTGAGGTGAAGCAGACAATGTTTGGGATGCTTTTTCTACCCCCTTACTTATTCTAGGAGGTGTGCAGTGTGGTCCTGAATAGGGCTGCTCAGTCACTCAGGGGGCTGCCAAGTTCTACTGCTGCTTCTGTCCAGTAGAAAACCACCCAAAGCCCTGAGCTGCCTGTGTGCAGGTTTGCGGCTACAGCTTCCAGTGCATCCACTTCTGCTGCTTCATCTTTGGCCTGTCGCCACAGAGCTTGTGCTGGATGTGAGTTGTGTGGGATTTAGATTTAAGTGAGGAAGATTTGCACAGCGTCTGCCTCCTTCTCTTGTCTGAGCCACTTGGTAACCAGCAGCAGGACAGTGTCAAGATGGCTGGAGATTCGCCAAGATCGTAGAACCATAGAAGTCGGGTCAGAAGGGACCTTGCAGATCTTCAAGTCCTGCCTGGGCAGGAAAAAACTGGGCTCAAATGACCCCAGTCAGGTAGGCATCGAGCCGCTTCTTAAAGACCCCCAGGGTAGGAGCCAGCACCACTTCCCTTGAAAGTTGGTTC